TGTGTACCAATTTGTTTTGATTTCCCCGTTGTTATCATAATTAATTGTTAGGTCTAGAAAGTTTATAGAATTGCCTTTATCTTCTTCCAGAGTAAACTTTAGGGTATCATGAAAGGCATTAAACTTATCTAGTGTATATTAAATTTTGTCTTTCGGCAGGCACATTATGCAGTCATCCACATATCGTTTAAAAAATTCACACTTATAGTTTAATTTAGATACTATTTATTAATTTATTATTAAGTATCTGAACGAAGAATTCTAGTCTCTTCCCAAATTTGATTGTCCTGACTAATCACCTGTTAGGCCTAATTAATTTTAGAATGTTTTAAAGTATTGCAATTGTGATGTATTTTAATGTGTGATATGATGAGGCTGTTGACGAACTATGGTTGTTTTTTAAATTAATGATTTTTTTTTAACTATCTGTTATTTTAGAAAAACTGATGATGGTGGAAAATTGTACCCAGACGTATTTTTATTGATAAATAGAGACAACAAATGACTTCTACTATCGCTTGAAATTAATTTTCAATAATATTTCAAAATATTGCGTAAAAACGTGTAACTAGATTCCTGTTCATTCATTCGCTTAATCAAGTTATCTATTACTATTTCATTTTCACTTCCAACCTAAATGTGCTACGTGTACTGTCCTATTATCGATGTTTATCCATCCGGTTACAAGTCATCTAAGTATGCGCTATGACCTCTCATAATAATTAATTGATTATTACCTGGAAAATATAGCGCAATATTATCTAGAAAATAGAATCGTGGACGCAATATAGCAATATTATATCGCAAAATGTCCACAAGTGCATCGTACAAATTGGTAGTAGAACCAGAAGAATTACTTCAGTTGCAAAGTTCGGATGTTTTGAAAAAACCATATTCTAAACATTTCAGGTTGGTAGAAAACTCACAATTCATAATTCAATTAATTGGGAATATTAGTTCTGTTATTCCGCTTTAATTAGATAAATAGTGGGATAATAATTAAAATAATTTAAAAGATTCACGTAGGTAAAAACTTCCAAGAATTTCATAAATGTTCCACGCAAGTTCATCATAAATTGTTCAAAATCTTAAGTGGTTAATGAGATATCGTAAATAACCAAGTTCATACAAAAGAAAGAAGGTCGTTGTGATGGTCGAATAACTAAAACAGCAATAAACGTTACGTTTGTTAGTGAAGTCTACTTCACTTACAAAGTTTAATTACATTCTACAATTTATTTTTATACTTTCTATCAACGCCCTGAAACTTTTTCGTCGTTTCATTGCAACCTCGTATATTGTACATTGTTGCCCCATCTATCCACCACCGTCAAAGTCACGCTTCGCTCCCCTTTTCCTTAACCTCCCCCAAATGTAAAAACATGCCATACGAATTTCCCTTTAAAAATTCTCAGTTTTCACTTCATTTGAATGTATAGTCGAGTTGGTTTTGATTTCGGTCAATTATTATGGTGGATTTGAAATTGCTAATCTATCCAGAAATCCTGCATAAAGCATCGATACTTCGGAAACGGTGCAAAACGCAATCGATCGCGTGCAAAGCGGCACAAAACGGGAATTGTTCTTGTGGAGAACGTGTAGATTTCAACGAAGCTGAAGCTCAAATGTAAGTTGTATTGAACAATTATCAACGATCTCAATTAGGAGTTTTCCAAAAATCCTAGCAAACTAGCCAGTCAGCATCAGACGCTAGGTGGAAGTTCTCCAGTGCACAATATGCTGAAGAATTTGAAGCTGGTGATTTGGTGATTTTTCAGTCAGAGGATTTATAAACATGAGAACCACACTCCACACTCCAGTGGTTAGTTAATGCGCTTGAGAGAGTACAGTTCTTCAAATAACCTAATGAATTATCATTACCTAAATTTCGCGTTCGATGCACTCAAACATTGCTTTTCAATACATTTGTATAACAATTACTTTCTTTTGCAGCCCTCGAATCAAGAGAAGGTACATTTTGGGGAGCATCGTTCTCTTGGTCCTCATAGCCCTAATATTAGCTGCTTTTTACGGCGGATTGTTTGGAAGAGGTTTAGCACCAGATGACGAAGCTCTACTGAACCCTAGGAACCCTACAGAGCCTTTGCCGCCCTCCACCTCGGTTCTGCGCGTTTTTAAAAAGGCGGCAGTATGTGCAGATTCAGCTGCCTGCGCACAAGTTGGCAAGTAAGTACACAATATTGAAGCTAAGATTGAAATAGTACTACAAATTAACTTACCAGTCATACTACGTAAGCTGTTCATGGCCACAACAGCCTCTTGTACTAGAAAATATTCTTCATAACTACTGTTTTTCATAACTTGAGCTTATAACAACAACTAAGTTTTTTTTTACAAACTTCTTTTTGGGTATTTTGCCTCAAAAATTTTTGTGTTTAAAAAAGACAGAATTTCCTCACATCTTTTATAACAGATTGATAAATAGTGCTCCCATTTCGCAATAAGAACGAATTATTTATCAAAAAGTTATCAAGAAGTATCACCTAGAGGGTATCCTGCGACACACTTGGCTCAAGCTGTAAGAGAAAATGCCAATTAGTAAAGAAATTAATTTGAAAAAATTACCTTGACGTTTCGATAGCTATTTTTTGCTATCGTTATCAAAATAACCTAAAAAAGAGTATATTAATAAATTGTGTAATAATAGTATATTATTATTATTATCTACTATTATTACACAAATTACTAACATACTCGTTTTTAGGTTCTTTTGATAACGATAGCAGAAAATAGCTATCGAAACGTCAAGGTAATTTTTTCAAATTAATTTCTAATAATTCTTACTAATTGGAATTTTCTCTTTCAGCTTGAGCCTATGTGTGTCGCAGGATACCCTCTAGGTGGTTTTTTGAATATTTTTTAATAAATTATTCGTTCTTATTGCGAAATAGAAGCACTATTTATCAATCTGTAATAAAAGACGTGAGGAAATTCTGTCATTTTTAAAGACAAAAATTTTTGAGGCAAAAAACCCAAAAAGAAGTTTGTAAAAAAATGAATCCGCCTCAACAATATAGAACTTATCAACAACTAAGTTGATGTTTTGGTATGAAAATTGGTATAAAGTCACATTTACAACTAAAAGTTGATTGGTCCGCTGAATTTTAAATGAATTTAGACACGACTTCTGGGATTCACTGTATGTTTTTGACTTACAAACATAAACTCGCAAGTGTAGTATTAGTATGATTGCATTCAATTGGACATAACTTTTTGTAACCTTTGGCTGGCTCTTAAAAAGTAAAGTGCACAGGATGATCCAAATTTGACACTCAAGGTCTATGGCAATACGAAAACTGATAATTATAATATCAATCTCAGATCACAAATCATCTTTTACCGAAAAGAAATCAAAATACTGAATTTGAAAGTGGACTTAATGACGTCGTCAATTTTTTTTCTCCAGAATTTTAACAATAGTTTTTCACGTCTGTGTTTCTATTAGGATTGCGAATAACCTTAGCTGAAAAAAATATATCTACCTATTTTAGCTTAAAAGTTACAGGTCTAACGTTTAAGTCAAAATCAATAGCAAATTTTCTTTTAAATAAGAGTTATTTATAATTCCATGAGCTGGATAAAAGTTGATAACGTCATTAACACCATTTCTAAATTTACTGTTTTTCCTTTTTTCGCCTCAGTCTAAAAGTCCTTAGCCTCTCGCCTAAAAATTTAATTTCGAATAATAATTAATTCGAATTGATTAACTATTTATTAATTTGAACTTGAATTGAAATTTTAACACCTGGAATATGATTAGCAAGCATTTGCAGACACAATTGCTCATACGTTAAACAATAAACAGTGAATTGCAAAGTTACAGTCTTGCACAGTGATGTTTGATGAAATACACGAAAATTTGAAAACCGTTTCTTGATCTCCACGCAAAATTCGTTTGAAGATATTTATTTGAAATTCGATAGTCTTAAGGAGCTTATGTGCTAAAATATGCAAAGCCAGAAATAAACTTTAAACATTGAAAATGGAAGGAAACCAAGGCGTTCTTATCGTCCATGTATGGAACGATTTCTTAAGATTATTTACCAAATTAACATGAAGAAAATATGTATTTTTTTCGTCTGTTAAAGGCTGTTCATCGAATTTATTGAGAACAATTTTGTAAAATAGAATATTCTGCGAATCTTTTGTGGTGTAGAGTATTCTTTTATTTTTTACCATGCATTCGGAAAATCTGATTCCTCCTTCAGATCCAAAATATCAAATTAACAAGTCAGGACCAATCAATTAATAAATATAAGAAAGAAACAAGCAAGTGTTTAATTTCAACTATTTTTCAATTGACTTGTTATGACTGTACTGTAGTTTATTTTATATGTTAGCACTGAAAAACGAAATACATTTTCCGAAAGGTTGGTAGAAATATCAGAATGTTACCGCGATCATTCCACCTTTTTGAAAGGCAAAAAATGTAAACCATTAATTTTAAAAAAATATATTTGTTAAACTCAGAGGTGCAAATTCCAAGCAAGCAAAGGAAGACGTAAGAACGGACGGGATCGGTTCTCCTTTCGTCCAACTCAAACATTTGCTTTGATTTTGGCTTTCTTAAACTTGTTGGTTTTCAACTTATTAATACTTTCGTACATATAGATATTTCTTTGCTACTCTGCTTGTTAGAATATAATGGTGCATTATTTAAAAAACTTTATAACACTTTAATTAGATTTGCGAAATTAATTGTAGATGTTGGCAACTTGTCAATGTTCGGGTAATTCGTAAAAAGCAACGTATTAAAATAAGAATTTTTTTAATTAATATTATTTACTAAAACTAGTCATTTTTCAGTTTCTTCTTTTTTGTTCAGATGTAATAAGCCTGGGTATAATTAAAATTTAACTAAACCTCTATATGTGGTCCACTGAAAGGCAATTAGACAATTTGGGGCGATGAACTGCCTTGCACCTGTGTTTGTGTTAAAAATAAATCGAGATGTTTGTGGTATACAGCCAAGTTTGAAAATAATAAGGGGCATGCAATGATGTAAATTAAATAAAATCTCCGTCAAAACAGTGCCAAAACAAAACTATTTCTATTATGAACTGATCTTTTTGCATTGATAAAACATTGTTTATCAATTTTTTTTGTACAAAAGAGATATTTTATCTACTAAAAACTATATACCCAATACATAATTGAAAGGAAGTCTTAGTATGCTTGATGAATAACTAGTTCATTTTAAGTCATGGTAGCCAAACGATTATGCGTAGAGCAAACCATGAATTACGTACGTTACTTCGTTGTTTGGTTTTTTCGACACCGTATGTAAGAACTGGTATATTTCCGTTCAGCAGACAAACGGAAGACCCCTTCTAAAATCCTGCATCTTAAAATAGATTCACTAGATGAAAATAATTCAATATAATATGTACGTTGGCGAGAAGAGAGAAGAAAAGTTGAGTTTTGTTTATAAAATTAGATGATTAATCAATTAATACCACTGGTGCTGTATATTTTTAAATAATTTCCCATCCGGATGTGAAATGAATACTAACCATGTTCTCAATGTTCGCTTCCAAAGACGGATTTTTTGATTTGTTACGATCGTTGGAGACTGTAAAACATTACTGATGGAACATTACTGGTGAAACAAACACAGAATATGAAATGTATACCTTGAAAACCTTGAAAATACTTCAGTAGCTGGATCTTCCGCTAAGATGTACGCAAGTTTTCCGTTCAGAACGTCCATGAGCGTGTTTTTGGAAAATATTTATGAAAGAGTTTCCGTTGTTGCGATGGGTCTAAATGTAAAACCATCCAATCGTTAACAGTTGAAAAGAGCATAGCGGAAATATATTGAAATTGTATTTAGAATAAAAATAGATAACATTTTTATACATATAGATAAATCTCATGAACTGAATTACACCATATCTACTAGAGTACCCAAATCAGTGAATGTTTTAAGACAATAACGAGTCTATAATGAGCATTTCCAATTGCAGTTGAGCTCGTATGTAGGTATTTACTTTCTAGTTTCTAGATCCCGATTGAATTGGGTCTAGTGAGAATAATATGAAAATATTATTGAATTTGTTAGATTTTTTTAAGAAATGTTTTATTTCCGTAAAATAACTTAATACTTTTTCAAAAACATTCACATAAAAAAATTGACCAATTAAGCCTATTTGGTGTGAAAAGAAATACTTAACAAAATAATAAATTTGATAATGCATTTTTCAAATTAAAGTTTTTAAGCCATGAAACATGCCCAAGTAGTAAATCGGGGTGGAAATTAAACCAACGAATACCCTATCAATGTAAAATTACAGATAATGTATTAATATTTTACGATCTCTTTTCACACATGTAAAAATTTGGATTTATTTGTCAGAACTTTTACTCCAGATACTACTGAACCAATTACATAAAAATAAAACTTGCAGGTGTACAGAAATTCTCAGCGGCAGATCACATCATTCAGTAATATTCTGATTTTCTTATTGTACATATTGTTGATTGTCTTTATTATCGGATAATCTACTAATCAAACTACAAAAATTAGTAATGATAAAAACAACTTGTTGGCGCGGATAGAACATTTATGAACGTGCCAGTTCGGCGTCCTATCATTTATTTTTGTTCTGGTGTTTTTGGTGTGTAACAATGGAAAAGTGAAGTTGTCAATCTAATAATAATCAATAAAAATTTTTTTTATAAATCAGCAATCATCCAATCAATAATCTATAAGAAACGAAATAAAAAGGCAAGCAGTAATCCTCAGCGCACTAAAGCACAAAGGTGTGCAAAACACAACTAAAACTTTAACAGATTTTTTTGAAAAAGTTTGTAGTAAATTGTATTCATTTTTTTTTGAGTATTTTTTGACAAAATGGACTTTCACCGCTTTCAAATAAAACGGCTAATAGAATTTTTCCGAAATTTCGATTTATTTCCTCTTGGGAGATCGCGGGTGATATTAAATGTACTGACAATGGATTGCATCATTTTCCGCTGATGAGATTTATAGGTATAAGTATCATCTCATCATCTCTTTCATTGAAAATGAAGCATTTCTACTATGTTAATGAACAATTGATTGCATCAGTACAATACAGTATGTACACGTGAAACAAATAAAGCAAACATCGATGGGTTGACAATAACACAGACTATTTTAATACCATTTAGATTCAGGATAAGTAATTTGATAACTTACATTATGGATGATCATAAAAAATATTATAATGAGCTAATTGTGGCCAATCTAGATCAATTCCAGTACCTTCCAGAGATAAATCAATCTATTAATCGTAATGTCATTCACGACAATAACCAGACGACAATGAGCACATACAATTGCAATTTAACACGTACTTGCTTTCTAATTTCTAGAACAATGAGATTATCAATCACCGTAATACCAAACATTCACAATTGAACCGAAGTATGTAACTTGGAAAATAAGACTAGGTTTATTTGATCCGCTATAACTTTAGCGGAATTTATCTTCTTGCAAGTGTCACAAAACACTAATTATTTAATATAATCAAATCAAACACTGAGGCGCAAAAAATAGAATAAAACAAAGGCAGATGATTCAAGAATAAAATCTACGATTAATAAGCTAATTCGACTGATTTCCGTATAAAAGTGAGTAACCTAAATCGCAATGAGACAATATTAACTCCAAAATAGCAAAAGCGATTACAATTTCGTATGCTCTTGCTTTCTAGATTCTAGAACGATGAGATTATGAATTGCTCTATTTAGCAAAATTCGAAATTGAACATAAGTATGTGACTTTTGATTTTGTTAATATATCAGTACGAGTAAAAAATGTTAAAAATCGTGCTACACAAGGTCTTATTTAAGTACGTAGATAAACTTTAGCATGTTATTCTGTGAGTGATTTTAAGAAGAAACCAGTTCGGCATGTGAAAATATCATATATATAATAAAGTTATGCAACAATAGTTTTATGTTTATTTGTTTCATCGAAAACAGTTTTAATATGTACGAAAAACATAATTATCGATTTGTTTTCAAAATCAATTATGGAATTGCCTATTGAAGTTTGGCTAATTACTCAAATCAGACCCTGTGTACTAATTTATGTATGTGATTCTAAATGTATTTTATTTTATGTTACAATTAATTCATTACGCTGCCTTGCTGATATTTTGATTACCTGAACTAAACGTTTGCTGTTTCTTTCCTTAATGTACCAATCAATGGCAATCACAATTAATAATAGAACATTTTCACGAAAATTCCTTAGATAAATTGTATTGTTCCTTTCTGACTGATGCGTATATTAAACGGAATTATCAATAACAAAGTTTGAGCGCTTTGTAATGATAACCATTTTTGTGCAACATTGACAAACATTTTTGATTAATATTGGTACTAATGCGTGAATTACAGAATTGCAAGAATTAAAGAGCACTTATCTAGTACTCTGAGGAAGAAAAACATGTTTGGGTTTTTTTTGCTAAGCTGGCATAAATCATATTTTTACTATGGCTTACTTGGCGCAAAAACAGATAAAACTCTAATAAATTCATACAAAACATTGATTATCTAGTTGAAATGTTTTCATTGTTGGGAAATGTTTGTTTTATACGTTAGTTTATTAAAAGAGCGCAGTGCATAATTGCTTAAAGGAATCGCAGGATCGATTTATAATAACATCATACCTTCTAGTCATTTTATATGCAATAATATCTCTTCGGATTATAAACCGCTTAGATAGTGTTATATAAGTTAACGCGTTCATTAAAAGGCATATTTTTCAAAAAAAGTTATTTAATTTTCCTTGATTGTCTTGTATTTTGTATAAATACAAATATTTTCTCAACAAAGGACACATATTGCATTCCCTGAAAACCGAAAAGAAAATGTATTCGGTTTTTTCCTGTTTTTGTTGTTTAAAAAGATAGTGAGAAAGAAACTAATACTGCAGGTAGAAGCGTATGAAAAATTAAATATCAACCAATAAAAATACAGATCAGTAAATCCTACATCATTTTCTAACGGATTTAAAAATTAAATATGTTTAGTTAACGCTATTCTTCTAGATCCAATTCGACTGTTTTAGTGCAAATCAGTGCTAGTATCTATGAGTTACTTTTGTTGTCAACACATGTTCAAAATTTAATGAATGCATCAGTTCACAATGTGAACTAAATGTATTGCAAAATATAAAAATAAAATTTTTGAACTTGGGTGGTTTTTAAACAGATGAACGATATATTTTGAGAGGCTTCATTAAAATATACAGGGTGTTCAGTCGTAAGGTGTAAGTCAATCAATTCCAAACAGGAGGTTTTAGTGCAAGTAATTTGAGGTTAATTTTGATAATATACCTACGAAGTTCCAAAAACGCAGGCTTCCAAAAAAAATTAAGTGTGTAATGCATATTATCGATAGTTAAGAAATTAAGAAGTTAATCCAACATGCCGATTTTACTTTTCATCGCCAAAACAGAGTGTAGTACAAAAAAAACACGAAATATTTTCTCTTCAAAATCAAAAGTAAATTTAGAAAATGAAAATAAGAGAATGGATAGAAAAGTTCATATGTAAAACTAAAATTCTAACTTTTGTCATAAAACATGTAGTGTTGCTAACTCCATATTCTAAGTGGTTTCCGTAATTTTACAATATTTTAATTAATATAAAATCTTCACCCCTCATGTCAAAGGATTCATTCCTGAAATGTAGTATTTATGAACGATAATAGAAAATGTAGAAAAGGGCATCACCCGTTAGAGCCCAATAAACAGTTTATAATTGGTCTGCAAAAATGTGTGATGGAAGCATAATAAAACAAAAGTATTATACGTTAAAAAGTAGGTACATATATCTGAAAATTAGTGAAAATGAATCATAGGCTACTGAATTAAAAAACGTTAAAATTGTTTTATCAACTAGTTTTCGCAACACAAAAGTTTTTATCCTAAAGCGAACAATGCGGGCTGCTTGTTGGTAGTTTCCCCAAATATCAAAACGTGACAACGTTGCTGTTCGCTATCCCCATTCCCCATTGAAGCAACCGCCCCTCCAACCTGGTCACCCGCTATAAAGCCATGGAGAACTGGCGCACAACAAACAGTGAGAACGCAGATACGAAAAGTAGAAGTTGAAAAAGTGACGTCAAAAGTTCTAGTGAATAAATTAGTCAGTGAAATGCAGCAAAAAAACATCAAAATGTCCCCTGAAGCTGAGAGTCATTTTGACGAATACGAACATTACAATTTCGCATATGATAAGCACATCTATGCAGGCCACAGTGGTAAGCAGAGGACGAAGAAAGAAGCTGAATCACATACCAATCATTTTGACCCCAATGGACATTCGAGGAAGATCGTGCAGAAGCTGATGAATACCGAGGCCAACAAGAAGACCAAGGTTTAAGCACTAAGTGATGAGACAAAGAACTTTGTTTTCACGAAAAAAAGATGATTTTTCCTTGGCTGAAGTTTACCGGACTGTGATTTCTAATTTTATTGAACGTTGCGCACTAACGAACTGGCTTTGCGATATTATTATACACCTCGCACTTTTGAGGTCATATAACATCTGATTGCGACCTACACAATGTACTTTAAACATTGCTTTGAGGTGGTTATGACTGCTTTAATTACTGTGTTAAAATCTTAATTTAATAAAAGATTACTTTTAGTAGTTGTAAGATTTTTTCTACTGTTGTTTTAAACTAAATACAGACTTAGTTCTGCTGTATGTTTTGTTAATTAGCACTATGTGTTGAATAAACATTACATTTTGAATTAGTAAGTCGTTTTCTTTTTGCCTTCCTTTTCAGAAAATCTACAGACCGAGCTGCTGACTGATATCGACTAGACACATTGCACAAAAAGTGCATATTCTAAGTGTAATTAAATTACTACCTTGTGTTTTCCATTGTTAAATTAAATTTATTCTGCTTATCGTTGATAAAATCAAAATTAATTAAATCTTTAGCGAAATGCTCTCAAGTAACATATTAAACCAGCTTATGGACAAAATATTACACTTACATACTTACAATTTACTTGGTAAAAATATGAAAAAATCACCTTATATGTTGTCGGCGACAGCTTAATTTAAAATTTGATTGCGGAAGTTTGCTATAACATTGGGTCATTTTTCAGGTTCTTCCTTGATTTATTTAAGTTTTTCACAATTTCCCGTCATTTCTGTTGTACGTCTGCAAAACATTTATTAATTTTACTAGTTCTATAATAATATGTTTTAGTCTGGTTTTTTGTTGAGTTTTATAAGTTTAAAAATACAAAAATGTATTTTTAAAGGCTTCAATAGAGAAAATGTTGTTTCTTCAATTGCTGAGATTTTTTAAGTTTGATAATTTCAACACAATTGTAAGCTATTTTTCAAAAACTTGTCACTCAAATGGAAGAGTATTTGGAAGGCTACTATTTATGCAATTAGGTAAAGAAAACGGTTGTTTTATTCATTCTGCAAGCGTCGATTGCGTTCCTTTGCAATAATTTGTCAGTCAAATTTAGCATTAGATAAAGGGCTTCTTTTGACACAGTTAGATGGATAAACTGTAACGCTATTCATCCTGCACGAGTCGATTCTATTTCACTTTTCGCAATTTTTTCAAGTTTGAAGCATTTAGCTTGTTTCCCGGTGACTTTTAAAGAAATTGTCACTAAAATTGAGGATTAGCTGTAGAGCTAGCTGCATTTGACACCCTTACAAAGAGAAAATGTTCTTCTATTTACGCTGGAAGCGTCGATCGCCTTTTAAATTTGTTAAATTCTGGGAATTTTTGTGGCTTCGAGGTTTTAGCACACTTTCTACAAAAGTAATTTTTAAAAAAATCATCACTCAAATTGAGGATTTGTTGAGGTGCTTCAACACCTCTAAATAAAGGAAAGATTGCAATATTTATCTTGCAACCGTCAATTACCTTTCAATTGTACAAGTATTAGCATTTTTTTAAACTGTAAGCTTCAAAATGCAGTTTGGCCTCCACTACGTTTGCAAGACTTTTCAAGAAAATCTCACTGAAGCTGAGGACTTGCTAGAGAACCGTTTTCAGTACTGTTAAATAGAGAAAGCCTGCTCTCTCGATGCAGCTAAGTCCGATAGTTTACCCAAATATTGAAAACATTTAAATTTGAAGCCTTGTGATTACCGTTTACAACCTTTAAAATCGATTTTTTAATTCTTTGCACAAAATTCAGATTAATTGCTAGAGAGTTGCGTTTAACATCCATCGATAGAGGTAACATTCCTCTATTACTCCTACAATTGTTAATTAATCTCGCTTTTTCTCAGTTCTTGGGATTTTTTTAGAGTGGGGCACTCCATGTCCACGTCATATGAGTCATGACCCCCCATGACCCCTTCCCTAAATCCGCCCTTGCGTGCTAGGGGGCTGCTTTACATACAATTTATTAGAAAAAGTTATTACTTACTCCATTACACCTGCAATTTTCAAATGAGTCTCGTTTTTCTTCAATTGCTCAATTTTTTTTTAAGCTCTCAGATGTGCTTTGGCTACCACCACGTTTGGAAGAGACTTCGAAAATTGATCACTTGCAACTGAAATGAACTAGACAGTGGGTTTTAACAACTCTCTCAATAGCCAAAACTTGACTATAAATTCTGCGATTTTAAGTTTAGTATTGTTTTTTCTTCGATTATTGAGATTTTTTTATTCAGCTTTTCAGTGCAATTTGGTTTGCAGCACTTTTGTAAGTGACTTCTCAAAAATAATGGCTGTAAACAACAGGATTTCTATTAAGCCTACATTTTCAGTTTAGCACCATTTTTCCTCAATTGTTGAAGATTTTTTAAGTTCGAGGCGTCAACGCGCAGTTTATCATCCACAACGATTGCAAGAAATTTTTCAAAAATTTGCCACTCAAAACTAGAATTAGATAGATTCAATACAAAATACTCCAGTTTATGAGTTTTGCAACTATTGATTTACACCAATTTTTTCTCGATTGTTAAGATTTTTAAAAGTTGGTGGACGAGAATCCCAATGAACTGAAAAGGCAACCTTTTATGAAATCCAAAAACTTTTCAAGTTTAATGTTAGTTAAGTAAATATAATGTAATTTTTGCCATGTTTCGATTTTAAACGCGGCGGAGAACGTTAGAATTTTGCGGTCTTACTGCAAAATCAGCGTAATAATACACAGCCTATAATTAGCCTCTCGAATCGTACTAATTAATAACTTTAAGCACAAGAAAGTTATAAGTGGTCAAAATGCCATGGAGGTTGAAGAGAAATTTAAATTCTCATTACCTATAGGGACAAATTTGTGTACAAAAATACACAAGTTGTAACTTTTTGAATAATAATATAAGAAATGTATCATATTGTTATATATCTAAAGATAGTAGGTATATATATTACCAAAAGTTGAGTTTTTTTAAAGTAGCGAGTTTTTTGAAAGCTACTTCTATGACTAGACTACGAACGTAATAACCTTAATAGATTAACAACCAGGATAATTAACTTTGCAAAAATGAATATTTACGCTAATGGTAAGCAACTGATATGTGGTATCTGTGAAACAGCATACACTGTACATGTCTTAAAAAAGACGGAATAGTTTTAAATAAATCTAATACATTTTTTCTAGTTTGGCAAGGTGGCATTTTGCTTGAAGTGAATTAATTTTATTTTCTTCATTAACTTATCTGTTGTTTCTGGGATTTTGGTTTGGTTCTTTCCGGACAATTCGCAAGTTTAATTTATCTGATTTTACATATTTAAACGTACCATTTACCTACAAACATGGATGTTTGATCGCATACGTGCCTATACATAAATGACCTCTCCTACTGTGAAAACTAATATTTTAAATTATTACCTGTTACATGGTGTTTACTGAACATGTTTACATAATCGGTGCATTAATAAATAACGTATATCAATAGTGCAATATTTACTAAAAATTTCAAGTATATTGTTATCAAAAATAACTAATCATAAAGAATTATATTTTATCTAGTGGAATTTGAGCATCAGTCGACTGCGTGAAGTATAAATACACAATTATTAATATTATAAATACACAAGTATTGATTAGTTTTTCGAATGTTGTGACCGAAATGGCGGAAATTGAATCAGTTTTATTACTCAAAGGACTACAGTATAATTGTTTAAACAGAAACGTTTTTAACGCTTATAGGTAGTTCTAGTCTTTTAGAGCTCTATTTGGATATCCAATTTCTTTCACTTATGCATTCCTCCACAACATTTTTTTCATACCTGTATATGTACAGAGAGCATCTATTAATTTTGAGAGTTAATCCATGCAGTAATTTTAAGTTTATTACAATTTATATAAAAAATATTCTCAAATATCTAATTTAAACATTAAAGTCTGGTGAGTTAATAATATGATATTATATTTTATTATATAGTACATTTTTGAATAATCGTCGTAATTTGCAATAAAACCAATTTTGAATAAGTTTTAAGTTAGCAATGAATCCGTTATTAAAATTCTAATTGAATGAATCAAAAAACAATAGTGCATAAATGTTTTAAGTTATCCAAATAGGGTTCAGCATCAGGCTGCTAATTTGTAAGAGAGGTAGTGTATTTTTTTTCAAATGTATACGTCGGTTCCCTGATCCTCTCCATTATAAAGGATTGTGATTTTATCGGCAATAATCCAATAACTTTTTTTGTTGATTAATAACAAATGTTGCCTTCAACCGTACCGGTTTGGTGTAGTTCATATACCAACCAAGCGTAGTTACTCGAACAAGGCTAGTTCTATTTTTATCGGTACAAGTTGGTTAACAAATTACCGTTTTACGACTCTAATTGATACCGAATTCTCGGAAATGATTGGAGATAGAAATAATCATCAAACATAAAATGTATTCTTCCAATTAGGAATTAAATGTTAAACTATAATAAAAGAGGACGCTCACATATACGGAATTATTATCGGCTTATTATCGCCCGTTTTTCATGATTTTGTTTGGTTGAAGTTTGCTTTATGCCAGCAAGAGGAGGATTCAATGATTTCAGATATTTGGTCGATGTCAGGCCTCAGAGAGAGCAGAATAAATGCGTCTTGCCTTGCCTTGATAATTTAATCAACTGTCCATTTTTGAGCATTGCGATTTAAAAATCAATTTCCAATTAATATTCACTTTGTTGTCTATCGATTATTTAAAAAGATCTGATAAATATTGTAACGGAAATGGCCTGGGGTACTCACGTTTGGAATGGGGGATCGAAATTCATGGTATTTCAGTAAATGCTGTCAATTTACTGTCAAATATGACACTGACAAGCGGGAAGTTTCGCACCTGTTCTGGAGATTTCTAGAACTATCTGGAATACATGGAGAAAACTATATAAGCGACGACGAGAACCAGACGGGAGGAGTGAGACAGACAAGCCCCCCAAAAAAGCGACAACTCCACAAGACTACGAAATCTTCTTTCACCCGAGTGAAACTATTCTCCTTGCTGGAGACCTGAACAGCAAACATACTATATGGGGCTGCAAAGGTTCCAACGGGGAGGGCAGAAAACTCCTCCAGCTCTCCGAGGACCTAGACTTTCAAATACACGCTCCCGATGAACCCACACATTTCCACTGCAACGGCCCAGACATTCTCGATATTGCCCTAACAAAAAACCTCGCTCTGAATTTGTCAATCACAAATTCCGACTCTCTAAGCTCTGACCACAACCCAATCAAACTCATCCTGAACGAAAACTTCCTACCAAACCCACTTCAACCACTAACATACATTGACTGGGACGCTCTCCGACACTATCTACAGGAAGCTACGATCACGGACACCCCAATAATAACCACCGAACACCTGGATTCTCTAAACGGCACCCTCACCGAAAAGATCACCGAGGCCACCAATAAAGCAACAACATTCAAAATTAACTCAAACAAAAACCCTTTCGGACTCCCAGTTGAAATTAAAAACAAAATTAAATTGCGAAACCGCCT